GTCTTCGGGCAACTTCCCGTGCTCGAGATAGTCGATTATTTCATTTCTCCAATCCTAGACCAAACTATTCGAATTCACCTCATAGTAACCATCTGTATCCAGGACTGAGTTCATTAATTGTACTACCGTCCCTGATTTCGATCCCTTTATTTCTGTCGATGAGCCCAAGTTTGCTAATGCGTTTGCTTACGTGTTATCCTCCCTCGGGATATGAATAATTGACAACTCCCGAAATCGTGCCAACAGAGGTTGGACCTTTACCACGTATTGCTGCATACATTCCTCTTTGGCGTCAAAGATCCCGTAGACCTGATTTACCACTAGTCGCGAATCACATTTGATTTCGATGACCTCAGAGTCAAGTCCTTGGGCCAATTCGAGCCCTGCAATAAAAGCTTCATACTCTGTTTCATTAGTAGTTAAAGGGATCGTTCTGATGGCTTGCCATAAGGTTTCCACCGAAGGCATGATTAAGACTATTCTGAGTCCATACCCTTTTACGTTGGAAGCTCCATCCATAAATAAGGTCCAAACCCTCGATGTTGATTCCGATACTATCACTTCCTCCTTGGTTGCTAGAGGCAGTAGTCCTGGAATGAAATTATAACGACCCGACCGGTCGTTTTTAGAATTTACGCCCCGATCCCCTATTTTTGCTTTTCCCGTGTTTATTTTTGCTATTTTTGAATTGCCGGGATGTTCGGTTTTGAATTTCGGAGAGTTTTGGGACACTTAGTCCCTAAATGAGAGCTTAAGCCTTGGAAATTTGACCGTAGTCGGAACAGTGTGAAGACGGCCTCGGAATGGAAATCTGATGGTTCCGTTAGCTCCGTTGAGTGATTTCGGGCTTAGGGGCGTGTTCGGATTGTGTTTTGGAGGTCCGTAGCTAATTTAGGCTTGAAATGCCGAAGGATGAATTTTTGAAGTTTCCGGTTCGATGGTGAGATTTAGATCCGAGGGTCGGAATGGAATTTCGGAAGTTTGAGTAGCTCCGTAGTGTTGAATGTGACGTGTGTGAAAAATTTCAAGTCATTCGGACGAGGTTTGATAGACTTTTTGATCGAAAGCGTATTTTGAGAAATTTGGAATTCCTAGGCTTGAATCCATGGTTAATTTGAGGTTTCGATGTTGTTTTAGGTGTTTTAAGGATTGGTACAAGTTTGGACAGTGGTATTAGACTTGTTGGTGCCTTTGGTTGAGGTCCCGGGGGCCTCGGGATGATTTCGGATGGTTGACGGGGAGTTTGAGGAATGTGTGCGGCTACTGAACTTTGCTGCTTCTGGTATTTTTGAACCTGCGGTTTGGGGACCACATGTGCGATGCCGCACATGCGGAAAAGGAGACGCAGAAGCGGATTATTGAGGAATTGTTAGGAACCGCAGATGCGGTTGTGGGACCGCACCTGCGAAGCCGCAGGTGCGGAAAGCTGAGCGCAGGTGCGATTTTTGGTCCCTTAAGTGAAGAACCGCAGAAGCGGTTATGTGGCCGCATATGCGGTACCGCAGAAGCGGTTATTGTGTCGCAGATACGAGAATGCCTGGACAGAAAATATAAATTGTGCCCTTCGCGAATTTTTAGCTATTTCACCATTTTTATCTCGGTTTTGGAGCTTTTTGGGCGATTTGAAAGAGGGATTTCAAGGGAACTTCATTGAGGTAAGGAATTTGGACTTAAAACTCGTTCCTATGCTATTAATTCACGGATTAGAGCTAGAAATTATGGAAATTAAGGGTGAAAATTTGGGGAAACTAGGGCTTAGTATTGGAGACCTTTGATTGAAGATTTGATGGACCATTTGAGGTCCGATTTTGTTAATCTTGGTATGCATGAACTCGTGAGAGTGTGAGGATTCTGGAAGTATAAATTTCACTCGATTCCGAGGCGTCGGCTCGGGGGGCATTTTGGTCATTTCACCTAATTTTGCGTATTAGCTTAGAATTTAATTGTAGAATCAGTTACTTGAAGTGTTATTTACATTATAAAATTTAATTGAATAGATTTGGGCCATTTGGAGTCGGATACTCGTGGCAAGAACGTGATTTCGGGTTGACAATTAAGCCGGTTCGAGGTAAGTGGCTTGTCTAACCTTGTGTGGGGGACCTTTCCCCTTAGGATTGATATTGTGATAATTGAAATGCCTTGTACGTGAGGTGACGAGCACGTACTTGTGCTAGTTGTTGGAAATCCGGTTCCTTTCATTAAAAATAGCCTTGAATTGTGTTCTTATTTTTTTTCTTGCTTACACTATTTGGGAATTAAGCCTGCTGTTAGTCTAGAGAAGTGCGTCTACTTAACTAAATTACTCTATTTGCCTTAACTACCTTATTTGTATTATGTGAAACATGCTAGACTAGAATTATCTACTTTACCTTGGTATGAAATTGATTGAATTGAGTTCTTGTTGCTGCTGTGTATTTACTTTGGGACTATGGGACGGTATCCCGGGAGCTCCCCTGTATGTTTACTTTGGGACTACGGAATTGTATTCCGGGAGATCCCCCTGCACTTTTACATTGAAACTACGGGATTGCACCCGATAGATTCCCCAGTACTGAGTATTTATATTTGGGACTACGGATGTGGTATTCCGGTAGATCCCCGCGCATTTATGAGTTGGACTACGGGACTGCACCCGGGAGATCCACTGGATATTTACATTTGGGAACTACAGGACGTATCCTGGGAGATTCCCCGACTGTCTTCTGTGTTGAGCTGTATTGGTTTTTCCGTGATTCTTGTTTCTATTTCAGTTGTTATTCTCTACGTCTTGTGATACTTCCACTGCTGCACTTATTTATACTGTTCTTATCTACGCTGTTAAGTTTTTTATATTCTATTTAATCTCAGTAGGGCCCTGACCTTCCTCGTCACTACCCAACCGAGGTTAGGCTTGGCACTTACTGAGTACCGCTGTGGTGTACTCATGCCCTTCCTGCGCATGTTTTTCATGTGCAGATCCAGGTACTTCGACTCAGTCCTACCACCCCTGAGGCGAGGCGACTGCTATATCGACTTCGAGGTATATCTGCCGCATCCGCAGGCCGAGGAGTCTCTTTCTATTCTTGCTGTTTAGTATTAGCCCTTCTGTATTTCAGTTCTTGTTAGACATTCTGGAGTTAGAGCTATGTAGTATTTCTTAGCTTGTGATTCATGGGTTTCCGGGTCTTGGATTCATGTATTAGTTTTTGAGAGATTAACGTTGTGTATGCCAGGCGGCACTCTTAAACGTTGTTTATTTACTCTACCTCTGTTTTAACCTGTTTTTCTTCCGCAAATTTGGTTTATTTTTCGCATTTTAGGCTTACCTAGTCGTAGAGACTAGGTGCCGTCATGATGGTTCACGGAGAGCGAACCGGGGTCGTGACAGAAATCGGTCACGAAGTCAGCCAAGATTTGCGACTTAATTACAGTCCTCAGTTTATATTCTATGTCGAATTCACTCATTTTGACGGTCCATTTGGCCAATCTACCCGAGAGCTCGGGTTTATGGAGGATGTTCCGCAAAGGGAAAGTAGTCACCACAGCTATCGGGTGGCATTGGAAGTAGGGCCTCAGCTTTCGAGTGGCAACTACGAGAGCTAAGGCCAATTTTTCCAAATGTGGGTAATGAGTTTCTGTTCCTGTTAAAATTTTGGTAACGTAATAAATGGGAGATTTCGTACCTTCATCCTCTCGGACTAAAACCGCACTTATCGCAACTTCCAAAACCGCAAGGTAGACCAACAATGTTTCACCTTCTTTTAGTTTTGAGAGCAATGGAGGGCTTGACAAGTACCTTTTCAAATCCCTCAAGGCTTGCTGGCACTTCGGTGTCCATTCGAAATTATTTTTCTTTTTGAGCAGTGCGAGGAAGCGATAACATTTTTCTAACGACATGGAAATGAACATGCTCAAAGCTGCTAATCTCCCTGTGAGCCTTTTGACTTCCTTTACGTTTGACAACTGATGCAAGATATCTTCTATGGCCTTGATTTTGTCGGGGTTTATCTCAATTCCCCTTTGCAAAACCAGAAACCCCAGAAACTTACCAAAGCTAACCCCGAAAGCGCTTTTCTCGGGATTGAGCTTCATATTATGCTTTCTCAGGATATCGAAGGTTTCTTGCAGATGTTTAAGGTGGTCACCTACATTCAAAGACTTAACGAGCATATCTTCTATATAAAATTCCATAGTCTTTCCTATTTGCTTTTCAAACATCTTATTTATGAGCCGCTGATAAGTGGCTCCGGCATTTTTCAACCCGAAGGGCACCACATTGTAACAATATGTACCAAAATTCATTATAAACGAAGTTTGTTCCTGATCTTGCAGGCTCATCTTGATTTCATTGTACCACGAATAAGCATCAAGGAAACTCATTAACTCGTGCCCGGACGTGGCATCAATCATTTGATCAATATTTGGCTGTGGGAACGATTTTTTCAGGCATGCCTTATTAAGGTCTTTATAATCTACACACATGCGAAATTTATTGTTCTTCTTAGGAACTACTACTATGTTAGCTAGTCAGTTCGGATATCTTACCTCTCGGATCGAACCAATATTGAGTAAATAGGTTACCTCTTCTTTTACGAATTTATTCCTGGCTTCGGCAATAGGGTGCTTCTTTTGTCTTACCGGAGGTATGTTTGGATCCAAGCTTAACTTGTTCACGGCTACCTCCATCGGGATACCTCTCATATCCTCGTGCGACCATGCAAAGCAATTGGTGTTAATTTTAAGAAATTCAATAAAATCATACATGAGCTCCGGGTGTAGTCTTGTTCCCAAATGGAATTTCCTTTCTAAGAATTCTTCGAACAACGCAACTTGCTCCAACTCTTCTGCCATGGACTTTGTTGCGTCCGTCTCTTCTAGAACTTGGAAATGTCTTGACACCTGATACTGTTCCGACTCCTCTATCCCTAGGTAAATTTTCTCTGGTTCGGTGGTAAGTACCGGTTTCTGTAATTGCTATGCCGCGTGTTCCTTTCCTTTGCTACTGGAGACCGAAATTGCATTCATCTCTTTTGCTGCTGGTTCCTTATCTGCTTGATTCCTTCGGGTTTTGGAAACTTCAACAATTGGTGATATATCGAGGGCACAACTTTCATCTCGTGTAGCCATGGCCTTCCCAGGATGATATTGTATCCCATGTCACCGTCTAAAACTTCGAAGAGAGTTGTTTTCATTACTCCTTCAGCATTCGTGAGCAGAAAAATCTCTCCCGGGGTCATCACGCTCGCGAGGTTGAATCCAGCGAGGAGCTTTGTTGCCACAATAATGCTTTTGGTGAGTTCAGCTTGCTCCAATACTCTCTATTGTATGATATTAGCTGAACTTCCTGGATCCACTACAACACGTTTAATCTTAAAATCTAACACATTTAAAGAAATTACCAGTGCATCGTTGTGTGGTAACAGCAATCCATCTGCGTCCTCTTTCGTGAAAGTGGTATCGTCTTCCTGGAGTCTTTTGCTATGAATTATTGATACTTTCGTCTTTTTTGCCGCTGAAAAGGTAACCCTGTTAATCTCATTCCCTCTAAAGATCATATTGATCGTTTGGCGTGGGGGTTCTTCTCCTGCTTTCGAAGGTTTTGTGTTGTCTCTGTTATGACCATAATTGTTCTTAGCTCGGTCACTCAAGAATTCTCTGAGGTGACTACTCTTCAATGTTGTTGCCACTTCCTCCTGTAGGTGTCGGCAGTCCCCTGTTCGGTGGCCGTTCGTCCCATGGTATTCACCCTATAAGTTGGGATCCCTCTAGCTGGAATCGGATCTCATAGGTCTCGGGAATCATGCCTCTTTTATGTTTCTCATGGTTGACACCAACTCCACTATACTGATGATGAAATTATATTCCGTTTACTTGGGGTAAGAAGGCTCCCGTGATCCTGACGTTTCTTTATCCTGCATCGATCTGTTGTTCCGGCCACGATTGGTCCTTCCGTCAATGGTGAACTTGTCCGCTATCCGGAAGCCTCTGCCACGACTCGCTCGTAGGGCAAAAACCGGCCCCTCACAGTTCGTCTTTCTTCATCGTAATCATCTTTTGATTTTTCTCCGTTCTTCTCTCGTCCTTTGGTCGATGATGGAAAGCCAACCTGATCATCTTTGATCCTTATTTTTTACTCGTACCGGTTGTGAACATCTGCCAAGTTGTTGCTTGAAACTCGAGCGGGCTTTCCTTTAGCTTCCCGGAAGTGTCTGAGCTTCTCGATTCAATTCTTTGGTGAATGCTTCAGATGCCCATTCATCCGGGACAGCCGGGAGAAACATTCTTTCTTTCTAGAATTGGTCTTTCTTTCTAGAATTGGGTAACAAACTCTCGTAGCAATGCGGATTCACCCTGTGCGATCTTAAATATATCGGCCTTTCAGGCTTGTACTTTTCTGGCCCGGGCGTGAGTCTTGATGAAAGAATCTGCGAGCATCTCAAAGGAATCTATGGAATGCTCGGGTAATAACGAATACCGCGTTAGGGCTTCCCTCGTGAGAGCTTCTCAAAATTTCTTTAGCAACACAGATTCAATTTCGTGAGGAGCTAAATCATTTACTTTTACCACTATTGTGTAGGTGGTAATATGCTCCTGTGTGTCTGAAGTACCGTTATACTTTGGCATTTTTGGCATTTTGAACCGCTTCGGGATTAGTTCTGGTGCTGCGCTCGGCTTGTACGGAAATTTAGTATACTTCTTTGAGTCCGGGCCTTTCAATATTGGTGGCGCACCCGGGATTTGGTCTATGCGGGCATTTACTTCCTTCATAAATCATAAAAGTTCATTTTTGAACGGGTCGTTCTTGCTGTTGAGACTGGATCCGCTTCCCCGAGCCTCGTCAGAGCCAACTTCACCCCTGGGAGTGTTGTTGTCGACTCTCTGCATCGTTTGGCTTGCGGGAACACTTGGAGGAATTGGATCTTGCCTGTTTGTATTATTCGAAGCCCCCGACAGCGCCTGTTGCTCTTGCAGGACCCTTACCGCATCAACGACATGCTCCTCATCATCGGGAATTGTCTCCCGAACCTGTCGAGGGTACTGCCTGTCATGCACCGGCATGGCATCATTTCCCTCGTTGTGGGTGTCAATGATTGAATCCTCGAAATGAGGCTGATCCCCTTGAATTTCAGGGTTGTACGTGTTGTTAACGGTGTTATCTACCTTTTTTTAATGATTTTTTCTAAGACAAAACAATCAAAGCACGTTAGTAAAAAAGGCAAGGATCAACTTAATTGCACGGCTGTCTAGGCCCCACGGTAGGCGCCAAACTGTTTACCCGTAAAACAACACATTTGAATTTATATGTGGTTTCTAGACAAGTGTGATCTTGAAATAATAAAATAATTGAAGAATTATACAATACTTAGCCTTAAAATGTAGATGAAACAGCAGATATGACAATTCCGGGAACAAAGTCTCTGGGCACAACAATGATGGGATCAGCGAGAAAGTAATATTGTATTAACTACTGTATAGAATGTAGTGTAAGTTAGCCAGAAAATTTGTGTCCTCTACAATTATAATTGTGCTCACGATTTATAGCTGCTTATAGGGAAAGAGGTCCTTGGATCGTGCCCTCCTTTAATGTCAATTATGAGGGTCATTGATGAAGATGTAACGGTGAACATAAATGCCAAATTCTTTGTAACGGGTTGTCACCCTTAATGTTGCAGAATATTCTTTATTAAATGCTAATGGGCGCAGAGCATTTAATACACCTTTATGAACGTTATTCCTTCCGGTGACAAGCGGAATAGCTCCGTTTGATCTTCGTCCATCCCCGTCTTGGGTTCCACATATCTTTCCTTTGAATGACCACGTGCTCTTTCATATTTACCCTATACACATATGTGTTGTTATAGGTTAAAACATGCGGGTAGAACTAGCTTATTCAAGCCTTTACCGACTTTATGCTTTTATTTATTAAATGTTTTTAGTTATTTCCTGCTTTTACTTGATATATGCCATTATTTGTACATGCTCTTACTTTTGAAATATGCCTTTATTCAATTTTTACTTGTCACATGCTTTTACTTGTTAGTGTTTTTACTTAATAAATGACTTTACTAGAACATGTCTATACTTGTTTCATACCATACTTGCTTCCTGCCTTATTTACCTATGCTATGTTAAGATTGTGTGATCATTTGATTGCTTGCGTGAATAACTTTGTTTGGATTCTTATTGAGTTACATGAGTGAGAGACCACGACCTATAGGAACCAGGCTATCTACCGCTTTTAACCCTGTTTGCATTAGCCTTAGGATTTGGGATTGCCATTACTCTTTGCTCGTGCTCATCTTTTCCTCAGTAAATTATACTTATCTATTCTCCGCGACAGTTTATTATGAATTTCACCATGTGGATTGTGTTGTTGGATGTTTCTATGTGAATTAATATTTCTGTGTGTTGGATCGGCTTTGCGCCACAACGTATGTGTTATGAAATATCGGTGTTGTTTGTGATATAGCCTTTTTGTGGACTTTGGGTATACTGATTATGGATATTATTCTTCCCTGTTGATTTGAGATGCTGAAGAGGGTGTTGATTGTATTGTTCGAGAAAATTGTTTATTACTTATGTCTTTGAAATCTTTTTATCGTTCCTGCCTTTTATTCCGTATTATTAATGTTATCTCTATTGCTATTTCTGTTGTTTATTAACCGTACATGTTTATATGGTAAGTATCTTGTCAAAGCTTCGTCACTACCTCGTCGAGGTTAGGCTCGATACTTATTGAGAATATCTATCGATTGTACTCATGCTATACTTCTGCACTTCTTGTGCAGATTCGGACATTGGTACCAGCGGAGTTCCAAGAGGTGCTTAGCCGTTACCAAATAGACGCCTCGAGGTAGAGTTGCACAAACGTCTGCTGGCCCTAGATTTTTCTTCCCATTTTCCCTATTACTATTTATTTGGCCAGACAGTACTGTATTCGTTGCAGACATTGTGTATAGTATTTTTAGTAGCTCATGTACTCCGTGATATCAAATCTTCGGATGTTGTGTAGACAGCGTTTAATTTTGGACTTATTTATGTATTTTAGAGTTTTACTCTTGTTCTATGCTATTATGTCATTTTCTGTTAGTCTACTTTCCTTATTTATTGTTAAGTGTTGGCTTGTCTAACAAGCGTGTTAAGTTCCATCACAACCCAATTGGTTGGGATTTTGGACCGTGATAGATAATTTAAGATATGTTGGGTCATATAACTTGGGTATCTATCGTAACAACTTATTATAACTCCTTGTGGATACGATCTCAACTCCTTGGGTCACTATTTTTGCTACGACCGCTTTATACTCTAAACAAGGGTGTAACTTGGGTGTATCAAATTGATCGCCCTGGCATGAATCCGAATTGATTCTCGAAAAATAATCTAAAAGTACTAAGTCGTGCTAAAATAAGTACAACTAATAAATACTATATATTAATTACATGACTAAACACAAAAGAAAAAATAAAATTAAGGTATGTATTTTTACTGCTTAAACCAATGCAAAACAAAAAAAAATACAGATATCCAATACTATTGCTATCCCTAGTGTTAGATTGAATTTTTCTGGTTAGCATTAGTATTGATTTTGTGATGATTTGGGCTTATATAAGTTACTAGCATTTATGGGCTATAAAACTTATGGGATCATTTAAAATTTCTAATTCCAAGCTTGAAATAATACGTAAAAGATAAAAATTATGAATAGTTTAAGAAATATTTATAAATTATATTATAACAAATCTTTTTATGTACAAAATATTTTTAAAATTATAACATATTATATCGGGTTAGTTGGGTGTCAGTTTGATTATTTAGCTAAAACCAACCCAAACTAATTATGATCAAATTATTTTTAATACCAAACTAAATCAAATCGATTCACTAGTTTGAATTTTTTACGATTTAATTCGAATTATTAGTTTGATGCAGTTTGTCAATTTTCTTGTACACCCCTACTTACCGGTATGCTACTGGCGTTGTCATATCTTTGTCAAGTATGTGACATGAACCACTTCACTGTCAACAAATTAATATATTAATTGAGAAGACTTTGGAGTTCCTACTAGGTCTTTAATTAAATAAACAGAAGGTTGAGTTTTCTCTTTATGGTTAATTGGTAAAGAATCATTCCCTGATATTATATCTTATAAGGTACATATTTGAGATGGATTAGCTTCACATCAATTTTTTTTCTCTTTCTTTATGTTCTAACAAATTAATATGTTGGGAATATAAATTTGCATCTGTACACCCATTTGGTACTTTTTCACAAAAATCTCTTAATAAAAACGTGGTATGAGATACTAAATCCGTTTCATTGTATGCGATACATTTATTAATTGGAGAGTTAAAAGAAGACTTTCTTTGATCACGTTTTCTCCAAATATTTATTTAATATTTTGAATTGTTAATTATTGCGACTTACCATACTTTTTATATAGTTTCTAGATATGTAAATTGTATGTTAATTTTAAAAATCCAATAGCTGAATTCACAAAGAAAATTGATATGTTTGACCATCGTACTAGAAACTATGTCACGTGAATTAGAACGAAGAGAGTAGTTGTTTTAGCGAATAGGCTTCTCGGGTTATGATTAGTACATTAGTTTATATATATATATATATATATATATATATATATATATATATATATATATATATATATATATATTCTGTTCGTATTGAATCGAGTTAGAGTTGAGTAGGTCAAAATAAGACACACAGCCATGTCTTAAATTTCTGTATCATTAGCATCTTTTATATAGGCGTACTTCTATCCCTCCCATTTTCCCTTCATTATCATGTAACATTTGACTCCTAGAAATTGTTCCAGATATAGCTTTGAGCATGAAGGTAAGTTGAAACAAGACTGATCTCGAATTTCTTTCTTTGTCGTTTGTTCTGTTCTTGGCTAATCTAATGTCAATTTGTTATACAGAAAAAGATCGTGATTGATCTCCCACTGAGCACTGACAAGAGCAGATCAAAGGCAATGCAGATTGCCGTAAAAATTCGAGGTATGTGTGAAATTTTTCTAAATCTTTGCTTTTCACCCCCTATATATGAACGTTGATATTCGAGGAAGGAGCTCTTGACACGAAGGAAATACAAGAAAGACTTGCTCTCTAACATCTCTTTTTATTCTTCTAATATAATGCTATCAGAGGCGGGCAGATAGAGCCTATATTCAACGAATTTAATTTAACCGACCAGTATTTTCCAAAGGAACATAGATCGTACACCCTCCATTCCAATTTAGTGAATCTGTTTGACAGTCACGGAATTTAAGAAAAAATCAAGACTTTTGGAATTTGTAGTTCTAAACAAGTCAAAAAGGACCCAGAGTATTTGTGTGGTTATAAAAGCTTCTCGTTAAGGGTAGAATTGTAAGTTTAAGCTAAATTGTTACCAAGTTTAGAAATGGGTTATTCTTTTTTGAACTGATCAAAAAAGAAATTGGTTCACATACACGGTTGAAGATTCAACGATCTAAGTCCCTAAAAAAGCATGAGAGCTGAGTGGATTGACTAATTGCAGGGGTTACATCGGTAAATATAGACAAGGAAAAAAGTCATTTGGTGGTAATAGGAGAAGGAGTTGATTCTTTTGCACTAATGAAGTGCCTAAAGAGGAAATTCAGGTGCGCTAGCATTGCGAGTGTGGAAGAAGTGAAACCTCCTAACAAAGAGGCCGAAGAAAAGAAGAAGAAGGAAGAAGAAGCAAAGAAGAAAAAGGAAGAAGAAGAAAAGAAGAGGAAGGAAGAAGA